CTTTTATTTATCCCCGCAGTTATTCCCACCGAACACATAATACCGGCAGCCATACAAACAACAAGACCAGTACGACTTAACCAGCGACAGCAGCTATCGGGACTCGTACATAAAATGTGACACGAAAGTGAAATAGAGAGACGGGAGTGAGAGAGGGATGGACAGAGGGCTAAAAAATGCGACCAGCAGAATTATTAACGCGTTTTGTATTTAAAAACGCATCAAGTAATGAATTGTGTGTCGTTGCGACGGTTAAGTTTGCTCTGTTACACGGCGTGGTAGTCTATCGTTGTTTTAATGTAGAACAACACAACAAATTATTATAATAATCATTAGTATGATATTAATACAAGTAATTAATGTCTCTTTCAGTGGCGGTTTTAGCAATGGCATAAAAATAGCGTTGCACATGCCGTGATGAGTACATGAATCAATCATATATGAGATAAACATTTAAAATTTTTTTAATCTGGATCATTTTACGTATAACGATACTAAGTGTCCATACCAGGGCACCAAAAAGTTTTTATAATGTTATGAGTAGAGCCCGGATTTATATGCATTTGCATCTTTGTACTAAGTGTATGCACGTCTATGAGGGTTTAAAATGTCCACGATTCATATAAAACCAAATTTAAACACTAAATTTTATATTGCAAATTTTGCATATTTAATGAGTGTTTAATAAATTAAAAATCTTTGTATTTTTTTTAAGTTTTCTATTTGTTTTTTGAGAGTAGGTAACTTCAAATAATCTAAAATATATATATTTAGTTTTTTTTTTTATTTGTATTCTCATTTTTAAGTTTCCTAAAAGTTTTAGATTTTTTTTATCATTTTTATTTTTTGTTTTTGATAAAATATTTAAAATTTTATTTGGTGTAAAAGTGTGGTTTAAAAAGAAAAAAAAAACACATTTTATAAAGTGTAATATAATGCATATAATTGCATATTTAAGCACTTTTTCTTTGCATATTTGTATCATATTTGACACTTTTTAAATGCATATAAATCCGAGTTCTAGGTATAACGTTAAACTATTCAAAAATCGATTGAAATCGATAATCAACAAAATAGAAACGAAAAACGATTAAAATTAATATCGAATAACATAAAAGAAAACGATTAACGATTGGAACATAAAAAAATTGCCACGGAAAAATATTTATAACTATCATAAAATAAATTTGGAACATAGTTATTTTGGTAAAATTGACTTAAATTACTAGGTAATCTAAATAAAATTCATATAAAAAGGATGTTTAAAACAGCAATATATTTATCAACTAATAATATATAAATAAGCATCACCAATTATGATTTATAAATATGCTTTCTGAAAATAAGTCGGATATTGTCGGCGCGGAACCCGTATAGCCTGCCTCATCAAAAATAATTTTGGTGACAATAAATACATATTTTTCGTGGTATGTGCATTTTATTGTTGTTATACAACAAATATGATTGCTTTATTAATAAGTTATGAAATATGAGAGTTACAAAAAAAAAAAATATCGTTTAAGGCAGGGGTGTAATGGTGTATTGGTATAAATACGCGGGTATACGGCGTATTCACATCAGCAGATTTTCAATTTTCGGCATATACCTAATGTAAAATATTATTTTACGGGTATACGCTTCTAAAATAACTCGAAAACAAAAAAAAACTAATAATAATTCAATTGTTCATTGAAAAAAAATGTTACGAACCATGAAATGTATTAAAATATTTAGCTGTTGAAGATTATAGTGTACGCTGTGTTTAATGTATTTTGTTAACTGTAGTGAATAACATTGATCAAAACAGTACGGAGTGTAAACATTTAGCCCACGGTTCTTAAATTTGCATCATGCAATTTATAATATGCTGCAAATGTATAGTATATCTTGTGGTGTTATATTTTATAATCTTAATAGAAATTATAAACATGTAGTTACAAAGGATTAATTAAATTTTTTTGAGCGTATCGAGAGAAAAAAATTGTCGAGCGAAGCAAGAATATTTATTTTAGGATTAATGTTCATATTTTTTAATGCGTACACCCCCAAATATATTTACACCACTGGTTAAAGATTATATATTAATATAATATAATATTTAAAATATATAATGTTATTTTATATAGTATTGATTGCTAAATACTACATTTGAAAACATTTCAAATTTTACACTGAATAACGCAAAACGCTAAATCATACATAACGTTTTAATTGTCAATAACGGTAAACGGAAAATTTTTTAAACGTTTAAATTTGTATAACGTTTAAATTATTTATAGGGTTAAAAGCTCATTTGCTTATAATGTTTAAATTTTCTATAACGGTACATAATATATATTATTTTGATGTAAGCCCTGGCCCATACTCAGTAAAAAATCAAATAAAACACAAGCGAAACTTTCAAAACACAAATAGGTGTTAAAAAATAACACTGTTTTTCCCGCACAACCAACGGTATACAGATCAGAAACGGATCCAGGGGATAAACCGTCATACCGCCTCCCACCAAGACATCCTGATAATAATGGCGACTTTAGTATTTATGTGTTGAAAATACTGTTATTAACAGCTATAGATGCAGTGAGCGAATGCAACGAACATATATTTCCCACAATATTTAAATCTCGTACCATAGATTAGGTTAAATTAGGATTACGTTATCAGTAAATGTAACTTAACTGCTGGGAAAAGTTTCTCAAAGATGCAAGAAGACCGTCTTACCTCATTACGTCTATTAAAAAAGGTACTAAAAGACGTATTAATGTTATTACTTCATACCTGTTACTCTATTAATTAGTTCTTTAAATATTTTTTGTTGATTATATTTATTAAATATATGACATCATACTAATATATATTTACACATTTATATATAATATATTATGTATATTATTATTTTATATACATTATATCATTATTTATATTATAAAGTATATATATATATATATATATAAATGATTTATTGATTTAAATAGTTGGCCCTCTCAGAAATTGGCTCTGGATCCGTGCCTAGTACAAATGACGAATAACTAACAGTTCAGAGCTAACGGTAAAAGATCAATATTGAATTACTTCAATAGAGTCGATATAGTTATAGATAACTGGAAACAATAAATATCGTATCACACAAATATCTTCAAAACAAATATTTGACGCGTATTCTATATAACGTAGCTATTGAACGTTTCGAAACATATTGATTTGAAACCCACACACGCATGTCGATCAGAAGTAATGGTATAAAATGCGATTTGATTCTTTCTCATGACTTGATGAACTAATAAATGTTTACGTACCCAAATTATAACAGTCCATGCAATGTTTATGTACATGCAAAGGTGGAGCAGTTATGAAAGAAGGACAACGAAAAACCAACGACGAACAAAAACAATTTGATGACATCGTCTGAACCACGGACCTTACGAGTATACCTACAAAACGAATCTGATCAATTGGACTGCTCACCTAAATTAACGATTATCACATCACGGAATCACATCGAAAGTAAAACAAACGTCTATGACGTTTACGAAATGGATAGTTCAGATATAATTAGCTATGATTGCACGTTCCTACAACACTAAACATGAAAATGACAATTTTTAAAATTAAGCTTTCAACTTACAGGTGCGTAGTGCCATAGATTTGTTATGAATTTAATCCGTGAACAAATCCATCTCCGAACAGGATATATATTTTTGATCGAACGAACCTATACATCAACATTAAGTGATGGTTGGTTACTGACGAACCTTTCATCTTTCGCAGACCTTTATTTGATAAATGTATTACAAATTAATTGGACTGAACACTAGGGATGCCATTTCGTGGGCTTTGAAATTAAATTTTAATTAAAGTACACGTTTTGTACTTTAATAAATCTAAAAATCATCCGAAACGAATTAGTCGTATTTGAAGACATAATATAAAAAATAAAAGTAGTCGGTTACAACTTATAACAAGACTTGAATTTCACAAAAAATTGGTTAGAAATGCGATTCCTTTGGAAATGTGATTTATTTTTCCACATTTCGCCTATGAGGTAGGTTCATTTGGTTACAAAACTTATTTTGTGCTGGTCCCAAAGCGAGTCTTATTATAGCTGTTTCCATTCTAAAATATATATTTCAATCGTTCAGAGCACTAATATTTTAACCAGTATTCATAAGTGGTCCGCAATCAAACATCCCCCCCTCCCATTTCCGGACATTTAGGTATTCATTTTTATCTCGGCACTGGATAAACTCATGTGTATTGGGACCAGTTCAGAGTATTCTGCATGGACCGTAATTTTAGGGACTTGGCAGGACTGAAAATACTGTTGACAAGAAACCGAAGTCGAACCGAAACTCATTCTAAATATTTTTTTAGACCGGACCATACTAAAAATTTAAAATAATTTGCTAGAGTTGACCGTCACCGGATCGCCAAAGGGGGATGAAATCTATTTCTAGCATATATAAATTAATTACTGTGAAACTGTACTATATAATATTGTACGATACATTAAACCTATAATCTTAAATCATGCTGAATCTTACATCAGTTTTTTAATTTGTTCCCTAATTATTGAGCCAGTAAGGGTGGTACTATTTTTAAATTTTAAAACAATTATATTTTACATTAATTTATATGTTTTTAAGACTAACTCAAATTTAGCATACTTTTTTAATTTACATGTTCCTTTCAATAGAGGTTCCCAAACTTTTTTCCCCGTAGACCACATGCCAATTTTTCCATTTTCGTAGATCCCTAAAATTAAATGCTTATAAACTCATCTAAGTGTTTTTCATAACTTACACGGAACTGCTCACCTGAATAGGCTTTATTATGGAATACATTTTTTTTAAATAAAAAACGTGTTATTTTTAATAATACCTTTATTTCTTTAATAATAAAAGTATTAAAATCAATTTTTTAATTATTAAAACGATAAAAAATGCAAATCAAATATAATAACATAGAAAAAAAATCAAGGTCGGTGTTAAAAAAAATTATCTTTAATGGGAAGGATAAGCCAGATGATTCGATAGTAAATTTTCAATAGTTGGCTCCAAATTAGTCAGGTTTAACCTCAAATCTTCTTTATCAGTAATTTCCAGTCTATTTCTTTTTTTTGTAAGAAGATTGACAACTGTGCTGAAACCTTTTTCCACGCAGTATGATGACGAAAAATCAATCAAAATCTTTCTTGCGATTCTCCATAAAGCAAGAAAAGTAACAGGTTTCTGAAGCCAGAACTGCTGATACCCATTTCTTAATTGTATCTTTAGTTCATCGTTAGTACTTATTCCGATCAGTTCTTCTTGTAAGTGCTTCTAGCACACATATTTTTCGTAAAAATTACGACACAAATTTTTGATTTATAACTCTCGAGAACCCCTATTTACACATGATGAACCCCAATTTTCGTTGACATTGACCCCTTAGAAGTTCGAATCGAGCTCAGGGGGTCGATATAGACTACTTTAGGAACCTGTGATTTATAGTAACCTATGGGGTAAACGGGGAGAAAGTACTTTGTAAATTAAAAAATCATAACATTTTTATATTTTATCATTGTTAATTTTCTAGTTCAATTTTAAATTTCCTTTTTGACGCAAAAATGAAATTAGTCTTCATATGTGTAATCATAAAATTCACCATGGCTTGTACCAGCTAAAAAAAATAATATTTTAAAATATTTTATATTATTTTTAATTAAATATATACATATCTTCAAATTCTTGATTCATTGAAAAGTATTACATTTACGATAAATAAGAACATTTTCAATTTTTGTTCAAATTACATATACACCAACTGTTTGTAGTCCAACAGACAACTTGGGTATGAGACAAAATTAAGAAAATTGGTAATAAAAAAGAAAAAGAAAAGTTATAATAATATCGATCACTTTAAATTATACAAATCATAGTAAAAAAAAAATATATTTAACAACCTGTATACATTGATAATGGTGATATTTAGTGATAATAAATATAATAGGCCACAGCGTACGATACACGTGTCGTGAATCTTGTGATAAAATCATCATAAATTAGGAAAGTTAAATAAAGGCAAATTGAATCTAGTTAATTTTAAACGGTGAGAAAATTATCATTAACTTGATATAAGTCTGATAGTGTTAGAAGTAAATTTAATTCACGACTTATTGGAAATGTAATACCTAATGATCATACATTTTAATAATTTGTTTTTCAACTCAAAAAAAAAAAAAAAACATAAACATTATTTATAAACAAAAATATGTTTTAATATTTAGTGAATATACGAATAAATTAAAATATAGATGGATACTGATTGCAATAATATATAACCTTAAAATAAATATCAAAATTGATAATTATCAAATTAAATTATTAAGCGAATTTATAAAATATTATACAATCATAGTCGTGTAATTCGTAGAAATGTTACACAAAATTATTATTAAGACTATAAGCAGATCAAAAATATTTGAACCAAATTGATTCGAACTTAAATCTGTGAAATACTGTGAAATTTTTGAATCATACCATATAACTGTTAATTGGTTGAATTTAAACTGTTCGTAGATTATTACAAAACTGTGTAAAACTGGTAATGTATAGTATATACCTATAAGGGTACATGTTAAATTGGTTAAAAATGAATATACTTGTAATTACGTCGGATGGCACGGAGTGGCATACGTACACAAGCCCATTCGTATCAACCGCGTCATAACGAGAATAATTGCAAATGCTGTTCTTGGAAATCTGTTCTAAATTAGTTATTGATGGGTACCCTGAACAACTCGATGATACATACGTATCGTGTAAAACAACGACACAAGAGAACAATGTTGATTCCCATGATAATATACGAGTTATTAATTCGGCTACATCACGATTCCGAAAATTTCACATATTTATATAAACAATTCGGTGTCATTTTAAATGCAATGTTGCACGATCGTTAAAATCTGAACTTACGTTGTCCATAATTTTGAACTGTGCAGTTGTATGTTTTTTAATTTACACGTGTAATTAGTTTGCACGAATATGGTTTAACGGATCATTATCACGGAATTTTGCTTTCATATGACATGTTCGTGAAGTTGGTACACCTTAGTTTTGCGATTTTTTTTTAAATCTGTGCCATTATTTTTCGAGTTATTTGCAAGTTAAATAATTTGCAAGTCAATTTTTAGAATTTGCAAGTCCAAACTTTCACTAAGAAACCAAAAAGTTTAATATGGACCAACTTCACGTAGTCCACCCATTTCGACCAAGAACCCAGTACCAAACAAAAGCCATTGATAAGCAAGAATTTTCAAGTCTATTTTCAGAAATTTTAAGTTATAGTAAAGTATATAGTATAGTAGGCCGCTATAAGCTTTTGAACTTCTGAAGTTTGCATGATGTTTAACCTGAAACTGTAAAGTGGTTTTCAACGCCAATGATTATAGCAAGTATTTACCCTCTAATATTCAACAACTGCTACAACAAAAGTAACAAGTAAAAATAAAAAAAATCATAATTTATAAGTGTTTATTTGTAGTTCAATTATGGTACATTATATTAGTTATTATATGTAAGGTATCTTTTTTTTTAACATTTATATCAATAATAAAAATGAAAACATAAAAAAAAGAATGAATGACTGTAACATTTAATTAATACTTCAGTGTCAAATAATAATATCTTATTGAAGCTTCAGAAGTAATTTTTTAATTATATTATTAAGAGTATATTTTTTGTATACATAAATCTGCTAAACTACTCAATTATTCTTTGTGCATTATGACTCATAAGTATATTTTAAATCACCATAAGGCTGAGAAACTTTATTAGATGCAATATTTCCGCCATAAATTTGAAAACATTTACGTTAAGATTAAACGTAAATAACTATAATAATATATACATATTTATACAAGCGCAAATGTCGGAATGATTGACGGTAACCTGGATGGTCTACCGGGGAAAAGGGAATGTTTAAATTCGGTAAACAATCGTTTTCGAATAACGATTTATAGCTCGTAGCTCAAAGTTTACTCTAGTATTATTCAGGTGTACGCGAGCGTTCTCTAAGAGCTTGAAAAAATAAATATCAGTCAACGCTGTATGGATATATTTTATGTTTACCTACTGTCGGAACACATATAACGCACTTGCGTTGGGGTAATATGCGCGTTTACTTATCGTATACCAAAATGACGTTTTACGCAATCGCAGGGTCTGGAGGTGATTCGACTTTACACGGACGTACAGAAAGGTTTGACGGTGAAATTACGAAAAAAAACTTTGTCAGGATGATCATATTATGTCCTTTTATGATATCGATGTCCGTAAAAATACACGAATGCGTTGTATTGTCTGTGAGTGTATTCATTTGATACGTCTTTATTACTGCAGTGTTATTTTAATTATCGTGTAAACGAAGTTGTATTCCGGAGCAGTGATGTAGTGATGAGGGGTGGGGCGCCCCGGCCGGCAGCAAAATTTCACAGTAAATAATAAAATAGACTTTGTAAATATTTGAACCATTTCATATTTTTAACGCAACTGTAAATTTATACACCAATGCAAAATTAGGATCGAAACGATTAAGTTTTGTTCGTATTTATTTAAATAAAGCTGGTGCTACACGATGCGTCAAACGTTGCCTCCAACATTGGCGTTCAAACGTTGACTGAACATTGGAACCAATGTTTGATGGAAGGATGCAACTACATGTTGTGACCAACGTTGGATCAAGTGTCATGTGAATGTTGGATGCAGTATACACCCTACAATGCATCTGTGTAGTGTGTATGAAGATTATAACCTATGAATATATTCAAACTTTAAGTTAAAACTTCAAAAAGTTAAATAGAAAAAATATAGATGACGTTTTTGTAGCTGCTACTATTGTAATTGTGCTATCTTGTAGTCAATTATTATTAAAAGCGAAAAAACAGAAAAAAAGACGTGTAAGGAGATGGTGGATTATAATACTTAAATGTAATACTTACTAGTTACTTAAAAAAAGTAAAGGTTTGTAAAAACTAAAAAAAAAATAACTACATAAAATATAGTTACTTCACATGGTCACGACATTAATTCAAGACTGGTCACAGGAGGACTACACATGTCGCACCGTGTAGCCGTATACCAAGTGCTGGTTGCAACTTTCTTCCAACGTTGGATACTCCTTTGACGCGGGTCAAAAATACCGACTTTTGGCGGGAATCGTTCCAACGCCAACATTGGACCCAAACGTTTGTCACCGGACATATGCATTACGGCTACACGATGTGGCGAATGATCGTGTGGCCAACGTTTGAAGGTATTGGACACATCGTGTAGCACCGGCTTAAGCGTTATCCAACATTTTATTATTATACTGGATAGAATCATATGACTACAAAAACTGTTGGGAAATTTGTAAAATGACTCTCTCACATTGAGATAGTCAAACACATTGAGGTTGTATGGTTCCACTCAATTTTTTAAAAGCTGGAACATCAGAAAATAAATAAAGTTCAAGTTCAAACTCGTGGAAAGTTGGTTCTGGTAATTATTTTTAATTAATTTTTAATAACGTCAGTTAAATATTTCCAGAACAAGTGGCTATAAATAAATCAAGTTTTTCGTTTTACCGCCTTAATCTTTTTTCTTTTCCGTACATCTTGATATCATCTCCCGTACCCACAAGGCAGTTGTTTTCAAACTCTTTTTACAATTACGGTGCCCTTGGAAAAAAGTTTGCTTTCATTATTGGACCCCCAACACCTGGGGCCTAAAATTTATCTTATTTCAGGGTACCTTCACAGAATGTCTAATTCAATATTGTTAGTGTCGACAGATTTATGCAGTCCGATATAATGGCATTTTCTTCTCCATAGTTCCATCTTGCTACATAAGGATAACGTTGTATAATACACTCGTATTTAAAACCTAGGAAAATATTAATTTTTTCAAATCGAGTTAAAATAACATTTAAAACGATTCTTAATATTTTCACGTACCTTGCGGAACAACAATAGTCGAGAATATATACATTTTTTGGGAGTGCACAAATTGTGAATAGCTCACCGACCTACGCCGTATGGTTTATAAATATTTTTGACGGACTCATTGAAAACTTGGGGTGCACTAGATTTTTGCGCAACCCCCTAGTGGTGCCGATGGATGAACATCATTTCCTAAGCGTCATAAAAAATAGTAGGTATATACCGAATCTAAATGTGTTGCATATGAAACAATTACATTTAATTAACGTTTTCAGAATAATGCTATGATATATACATTTAAACATAATTGCATCACTGAATCATTGGATTTCCAAACACAGAGTATACGCAACGTTACAATACGACTTGCACGAGACGAATAAAATAGTACTTTATAGCGTGTCATAAATATGTTCGACCTTGAATAATCACTATTAAAACCAATTTCAAAATATTAAACAGTTTTAAAACCAACAAAATAAACATAAAATATCCGTCATAAAAGTCATATTGACATAAAAAAAAAAAAAAGAAAAAACTGTTCATTGCTCCCACATGACACTCTCCCATTGTGTGCCTACGGGAACCATTTGGATTGTTATTTTTAGGTTCCACGTAACTTATTTTGCGAACCATTTCCCCCGAGACACGTGTGCCCCAGATTGAGAAATGCAAATATAAAAACTGGCACTCGATCTGAAAATGGGCATGCGATGGATCGTAAGAAAAACGGACGATTCTAAAAGAAATTCAAAAATTCTATCCTAAGGGTGAGTGTGCGGAGCGGGATGCATGCGTCTGTCACATTTGATAAATCGATAAAGTTAATTATTAGTTCTTTATTATGACATCGGTAATCATAAATAAAAAGTTTTTGCAGTCATAGTTAAAAGGACTTTAAGATCGTTATACTATACCGTCCGTAATTTCGACGATATTTCTTCAAATTGCAACCGCTAACTCCGCCATTGTCGGCGATTAAGTGTGTCGGTGGATAATTGAGGCTCATTCTTCGAAAATTTGTATTATTATTATCTTAAAGGTTAATCAGAATAATGTATATTTTTACTTATATTGATATATTTCATAAAGTCAAAAATATAATCTTAATAATTTATTTCTTTTCTTTTTTTTTAACTACTCTAAAATTGAAGATGTAACAAATAAACAATATTGTTTTTGAAGTAATTTTAAAATAATTTATTTTTATTAAAATGTATAAAAATATAATACAAAATTAATTTAAGTATAACTAGTAGCGATTAACTAAATTTCCGTTGGCGATATTCGTATTCTCTATGGTTATAAGAAATTCAATGTTTTGTCATATTTAAGAATTCGATCATTATTTTAGTAGTCGAAACAGGAAACATATTTATGCGCTCAGTGAGTTTGTTTATTATATTACCGTTGCAAATTTTGGAACATTAGTACCTTTTTCAGATTATTTATAGGTATATATTTATATATATTATATGGCATTTATTCGAACAAATAATAATTTAAAATTGTATTATGCTATTGCTAGTTAACTGCTAATAAATGCATTATGACAACTTTAAACTAACGGCCACCCCATAATTTGAAAACTCGTATAAAAAAACCACAACATAAAATTCATAAAATTTCATAGATATTATATAATTCTATAGATTATATATAATCTAAAGATTATACATACGATTCTATGGATTATATTATATAATTAATATAATATCTATGGAATTATACACTATCTTTGGTAATACAGTAATCCTTCGTTATCCGCGAAGATTACGTTTCAGCAAATATGCGCGGATAACGAATCCACGAATAACGAGATCATAAATCAATGTAAAAAGGGAGGTTAGGTTTAATTTTTTTAATTTTAAAAATTAATTATTAATCAACTAATAACTGAGCAATTGACGATTATTAATCGTGAATGTGTAGGTAACCTATTGTGGTTTATCTACAGTAAGTATAAGTATGTATAATGTATATGTGTAATACCTACAGCGATATAACAACAATTATCAACAATTATTGTCAAAAATAAATTTCTACGGTGTAATAACGGTAAAACGTTATCGCAATCGTAATCGTATTAATAATATGTTATCGTGGACCCAACTGCGGATAAAAAAGATCGCGGATAACGAGGGATTACTGTATATACAATTTATGGAATTTTGTATAATATGTATATGGAATTATATACCAACTAAATACACAAAACACCAACTAAAGTAACATTTCTTCTAAAATCTAAATGTGATATACTTGTTTTTTACTATTTGTACAAATAATTAGCATTCCATAAGTATATGTCCGTAGTGTGAAAAAAAACTTTCTCTACCTTTTTGTTACCCATCTAAAAACGTAAGCAATCGTGTTGCCAAAAAGCACAAACGTACGAAATTGTGTTCTACCCTATGGATATTCATATTCTAATTGCTTTTCCACGGTTCGGTGAAACTTTCAAAAAATACTTTTTATCGTATTTTTTACGAACAAATCTATGCTTAACCAATTTCATAGGGTTTTATTTATTTAAACGTTTTGACGTTTCACACATATGTTTTCACCGACTGCGATTTTCAACAAAAATGTGACTACCGCTTTCATATCACCTGAACTCGTTTTATGATGCGATTGTCTTCTCTAACCCGTGAAGACATCTCAAACTCTGAAACGGGTTCGTACATACATCATCGAGGGGTCAACACTCATGTTAGTACACACCATTAGCCGTGGCGAGTGGCACCCGATTTCGCACCCCTGTGACTGCCGCCGCAGTGTATTGTTTGTCTTTTCAGCACCTTAATCACTGTGGAGAGGCAAACGGTAGAACGGAAGAGCCAAGGTCATGATAGCCGGGCGATCAATGAATTATTAAAACGGTAATATTCGGAAACAAATTTGATTTAATGGAAATACACGTTCACCGCCCGATCGGCAGAATCATCCCGTCGAACCCGAAGGAGTGAATGGGGAGAGACACGCTCAGATCCGGTTTTCGTGTTAGTGCTATGATCACTGAAATTTTTTTTTCAAAACATGCTATATTCGTGCTCCAATTAGGTGCTTGGCTTCGGCGGTGCGGATTTTCGGAATGCCCCTACGTGTACATAAATTAATGCATTAAAATGCTATGTTTTCCGTTATGTAAATCTATTGGCAACGCCTAATTTTTATTTTTCAAACCGGAACACGTATTATACGTGAGGATTTTTTGCGCAAACAATATTATTCGGTTTGTCTTTATGGAAACGTTGATGCAAGACACACGTTGCGATGACTAACACTTTTGGATGTTGAATTGAAACTGAATAGTTTAAAATAAAATTACAGTATTGATATTTTACTTTTCTACCCCTTAAAAATTATTCGAAAGTAATACTATATGTACCTTAATGTGGATATTTGCCAACCATACGGATAAAAATACTATAGAATCAATCTAATCCCAACTCTAGAGTTCGTGTATTCTCGTCTTCAACGCCACACATTGAATCACACATTTACATATTAAAATATTTCCATTCAATTTTCGATAGTGATAATTACGGTGATGACGATATAAACCATTGAAAGTTCGATGAAAAAAGGAAATGTCGGCTGTGTTATATAGAAAAAATTACCTGAAATATATTGTTTGGGTTTATAAATGTGACATTAGTTTCGGAGATGATCTTATTTTGAATACCTAGGATCTATAATAAATCAAAATAAAGACCTTAGAACAGTGGCGTAACGATAGGGTGCCATGACGGACAATGGGCCGCGGGCCCACGACTCTAGAGGGCCCTTCAAGAAAAAAATAGTACATTCAAAAACAAATCACCATTAAAGTGAAATTTATAAATACGATTCTGTTTAAAAATATATGTATATTCTTGTAAAATAAAATAAATTTAATAACTGATCACGATTATATTTATAGATTAAATTATTTACCAGTCCGTCGACATTGTCGATATTAATATAATTATACATTTAATGATATTGTTATTTGTAGAATGGAAATAACAATGAAGCGTATCGCAATCGCTTGCCTTTGAAACCGAACGTAACATTTATATTTTATATTTAGATACTAGATCAGATTAGAACTATACTAGGAAAAAGTGACTGTCGTTTAGTCTGTTGTAGGATACGTAACACATACATAATTATTTCAGACGTGCCACTTTCAAATAAAAATTGTAATATATGTTAAGAGAAAGTGTCACGCTTGCTCGAGGAAATGTCCTTAGAATTAAGTTTCTATAAATATTAACACAATAACCTACTCTTATTACCCAA